ACTACGACTACGACTACTGCTACCACTACCACCAGCACTACCAGGACCTCGACCACTCAATATTAATTTCAGTGCTAGAATATGAACCAGAAGAGCAAACAGAAGAAAAAGAAAGCCAATAGTACAAATAAGAGAAACTGTAGTTGAAATAGTGGCCACATGCAATAGCGATATAATGGTAATGATAGCAATGATAGTAGTACAAACAGTAGCCGCAGTGGCAATAACAATACTCGTGATAATGACAGTTCCAAGAATAATACAAATACTAATCGTGATAATAAAAAACTGCAATAGCAACATAACACTAACAACAACAGTGATCATGCCGAAAGTATTAATCATCATCCAAACAGATAATGATAATCATGACAATAATACTAATCACTTAAAAAATGCAACAATAACCATCATAATAATAGCAATGAGAATACTGATAGTGGCCACAAAAAGCATGTGGTGCACCTCCTCCAAAAAGGCGGCCATGGACTCCTGCGGGCATTCTTGATCCAACTGGCTGGCTCTCTAGACATTGCCGTACATCCGAAACCAGGTCTGGCACGGTATGGTATAGTATATTGTAGTGTGGTTTAGTATAGCTTGGTTTAGTACAGCTTCAAAGCCAAAATCGAGTGTCCTATCAGAAATGCATGAGCTGTATTCAGGTCTATGAGGACCTTCGCGACTCCTTTTGCTGCAGGCTTGCAAGCAAGAACGCCTGGTAGTTAGCCACTCGTTCGCCTTCGCGACTCCTAGCTCCTGAACCCTACCACCTGCTTGCCGTCCCTCCACCCCAAAACCCCTAAACCAGAAACCCCTTGAAGCCCTAATTTCACTCCCCTCGGTTCCTCGAGCTTCCACTCCGTCAGGCGCTCGTCGGCACGCCGCCGCCGCTCGCCGTCCTGCAGAAAAACGTGACAGACTTCGGCTTTCCGGAAACAACCCAGTTGCGACTTGTTTACGCTGATCTAGGAAAGTGCTCAAAGGTTTTTGGGGTTGCGGGCAGGGGGGGTGGATGACAGTTCGACTAGATAAGGCATTTTGCAGGGCTTTTGGTCTCGTAACTTCGGTTAGGTTATCGTCTCGCTAGGGCTTGGACTTTGCCTTCCCGTGCGGAGTCTGAATCTCACTGCGTCACTACCCGGTCCTCCGTCATCCACTCGAAATCCTGGGCCAAAGAATCGGCATCAAATGCGGAAGGAGACGGACTAGATTTCGACGAAAGAATGCCGAAATGCTTTGGCGGATGTATGTTCTACTTTGAACTGAATGCCCCTCACATCTCACTGCAGCTGTGATAGAATGCGGTAGAACATCTGGCAGAGACCAAGCTAGCAAGCCAGCAGCAAATGAAGGAACACTATGAGTGCTCGCAAGTTTGTAGTGTAAGTTCACTAAACTTCACTAAACACAAATGTACATTTTCAGTAGTGGTTTGTTGTCTATATCCGACTTGCAAGGCAAACGTCAGACGCGTCTGCGGAACTCCGGGCCGCACAGCGGGAACAAGCCCATCCCAACATCAGCAAGGCACCCGGCATACCACGCTACCACCCCAGACCACTCTGAAGCTGGGCCGCTTGAGCTTATGGGTTGCCTTCTTTTTCAAGGCCACAACTTCCCCAAGCCGAATGACGCCGGCATTCCTCCTGAACCTTGTCAAGTGTAGTGTAGGGCACGGCCCGAAAGTTCAGGGCCCCAGACCCAGCCGTGCCGCGCACAAAGTGCCCGAAGGCGCTGTTCATCCCAGCTGTCCCGCTCGACCTCCAGATTCTTAGGCAAAGGGGTCTTCATGGTTCTAGGCGGCAAGATCCTGCATAAGCCCAAACTGACGACACGAGGGTGCACCACAACCATCAGTGCTTTGAAAGTTGAAGAAGCTGGCAAGAACAGCTTGTGTCACCACTGGAGTTTTCTTCACGTCAAGAAAGTGGTTGCGAATACAATCAACATGGCAATCTGTGCACAGGCATCCACAGTCCCGACATTTGGCCAAAAGCGTTGTGAGCTACTGAATGAGACTATTCCAGTTCCAGTCATCCCACCGATTTTTGCAAGTGCCGGCAGCCCTATCCCGCTGTGCAAGCCACCAACCGTCAAACTGTGCCAGAACCGCCAGTGCAATCAAGCACGGAGCATCAACAAGGAGAGCTAGCATAACAGCTTCCCAATGGATGGAATGTTTATACACCGCCGCCTCAACAAACAATCCAGTCCCAGCAGTTCTTAAACCTCAATAATGAGGAGCTCAGGCTGAGACGGTAAGGCGTGGCAATGTCAGAGTCTATCAGCTTTGGCATTTGAGGCTTATAATCTGGAGCCAGGATCAATTTCACCACTCGCTAACTAACTTCAAACAGACAGCATAAGCCCAAACAAGAGTCAAAAGGTCAATATCCTGACTAAACTCACCGGAGCTGAGACAGCCGCCTGTGGGTCGGACTGATTGCCTTCCCCCCGCGAGACCACCTCCAGGATTTGTGGAGAGTCGCGTGCTGTGGCCCTCCTTTGTCAGTGGCAAGTCCGTCCCTGAACAGTGATGGGAGATCCTGGTTAGTTACTGAGTCATGCTTCATGACGTAGTATTCAATTGACTTGAATGCAACCGGCCGTCATCAGCTAGCCATGAATCGAATGATGCCTGCCCCACACTGCATGCTGTGAAACCGCAGCCCCCGTCACCCTTGACTTCAGTTCAAGTGTTCACCCGCAAGTGTCAAAGATCTGGATGCCTCAACTCGCCGCTGGGCGAAAGCATCTACATCCTGCCGGCCCATGTCTGGTGCAGGACTTACTGGACTTATCACACAGCTGAATGTGTGTATCGGTCCGGCTCCGGGGGTGCATTTACGATGTACCACTCTAGCACCGGCATGGTTGATGTGAGCTTGAGCTTGGGGTTCCTGGTTTTCTTAACTTCGTATGGCATCGACAGCATTGCGAACAGCCTTTGCTGCGTGGAATGGCCTGGTGGCCAGATACGCAAAAATCATGCTTCTGCCGTACGCTGTGATTGATCTTTGTCTCGTCATATCACTTTCAAAAGAACCGAATGACATGACTCTACCGGACATGGCATACGTCAAGACATATGAATGAGCCTCTGGATATGCATACAGACGCCGAACAGAAGTGAGTATACGGATACTATATACCGTTCAAGACACAGAGTCAGAATCATGCAGTGGAAGTCAGGACGTTCTATATGTGTTGGGCTCAACTCCCAAATCCGAATCAACCTTCGGCTTTCACCTCTATCACAGTCGGGACGTCACCACCGGTCACGTCGCGATTGCATCCCCTGGGGATTCTTTGCGTAATCCATGTACAAACTAATTGTAGGATTAGGAGACGCTGTTGTACCTGGACGGAGTTCCGGATGTCCTAGAGTCTAGAGTCGTTCAGGTCAAGGTGAGCTTTGGGGTTGCTACCATGGCTGATAAGAAGGATTGTTGCAACTTTGCTACCGACATGCCATTGCCCGAATGTGTGGATAACATTGGGCAACATTGGATCTTTCCGCTCTTTCGCGTTGAGGCTCACACAGTATGCTTCGGGGCGTCCACATCCGGTAAAGGCCATGACCCATGACCGGTAAGGAGGTTCGGGAGCCTTGAGGAACTGTGAAGGGTCCTTAGATTCCACCTCCCATCTGCTTACAGAAGAACACGAAGCCCCGTGCGTAGAACTCCCCTCGCTTTCGCCTTTCCCACAGACCCGAAACTCCACCGAAAACTGAGATCGTGGCAAGCACATGTCGTAGTCCTGAAAGCATGAGACATGGTGTAACTGGTTAAAGAGCAATCACGGCTTGGAAACATCTCAAGACGATAAACTTCAGAGAAAATAGGCCGCATCGAGCATGCCTGCGGCAAAGGGTACCAACGCTTTTCTGAAGTTCAACAGACCGTGGCAAGGCGTCGAGGGTCCAAATCCCAAACCCGAAAACCCTTTCTGACCTGAAGCTTAAAAACCGGCTCATCCTGAAGTTTCGGCTTCTGCGAACCTTAAGATCCAACCCCAGACCCTTGCCAACTAAATCCTCAACCCTGAAATCCTAAAACCTTACGTAGCGTGGAGCAGCGTGAAGGATCTGACCATCACTTCCACAAGTGTACAAGTCGGACACATGGAAATTCTTGATAACAAGTCTGTTGACAGACACACTGGCAGTTCGAGTAACAACTAAGACCGCGAAAAGGAAAGCCACCACAAGAGGACTACTGGCTTGGTAACACTAGAAATTAACAGACCAGTAAATGCAGAGTTTCGAAGCAAACCAATACCCGTGGTATCTCGTGGTGTCGTCGTCGTCGAAATTGAAGGTGGTGGTGTGCATGGCGATTGTTGTGGAACCGCCAGACATCGCCGACTTCTACGACGACAACAGCTCCAGCGGCTGCTGGTGCAAGGTCAGCTGAGCACCGTGCGCATCCGTCTTGGCAACGGAGCCTGAGCAAAAACACTGAATACCAGCCGCACGATCTTTCTCCACGAAAGCCGTCATCGAGCAGGCGGTATCGGGCAGTACAAGCACTACGAGAGTTCAGCCAGCACGTGCCGGAATCTACGCGAATCCGCATCTCTTTGGACACTGAGGAAAAGGCTCTGTTCCAGTGACGCCGCACACATCGCAACTGGCATGCAGGCATTGGTTCGGTGCAAAGCAATTGGAGCCCCACCATAGCCACATCGTTTGCACGATGCTGTAATGCATAAATTTCTATTTCGCATGGGTTAACGAGGCATGCCGACCCTCTCTCTTTGAAGCTGGGCGCGTGGGGCGAGCTGAAAAGATGCAACCTAAACCGTGACCTGGCGACCAAAGCCGTACCGGCGCTGTAGGAATCGGCAAACATCCCAACAGACTCTGTATCTTCGGGAGTGGCTTTAGCGATTAGACAGGAATTGACTTCACATCATGCTGAGGTGGATAGCAATCGATTGCCCTTGCGCGTATTCTTGTTTCCCGAATGTAGGTGAAAGAACAATTAGAATAGGGCTTTACGGTACATTATACTATAATTAGCATAAGGAACCCCTAAAATAGTATAATTAGAGATAGTTATTGAGGCCCCTACATTAAACCTCTTGAGCCCGGCCCTACACCCTAAACCCAAGCCGGCCTGTTGAAGACCCGGGGATCTGGCTTCAGAACGTGTCCTGGCAGCGAAGTGAAGTCGGGGGTTGCGAGTTTTGGTTTCGGGGTTTCAGCACTCACAACTACCTATAGTCTCCATTGTAGTTCCTTTCTTTGGTTTAACCATATATATATATATATATATATTTAGGATCCTATAAGGTAACCCCACAAAGGAACTACAATGGAGACTACAGGTAGACAATCAGGCGAGAATCCGAGTTTCGGGGTTTGGGGTTTACACTCTCACAACTCGGACAAGCCAGGCGAGGATCCATATGTTCGCAGTCGGCGTGAACACAAGATGACTTTCGATGGGGTTTAGGGTTTAGGGTTGCGAGACCACAAGAATGAGAATAGGGTCTTGAGGTAGATTGTACTATAAATATATAAGGAACCCCCAAAGTGGCATTGGTAACTATTTAAGGCGAGCTTCGCAGAGACCAAGCAGCAATTCAATGAGGCTCACAGCCAGTTTTTCTCATCTCATGACGATCCCTCTTGGTAGCAGGGCAGGTAACCCTTTTTGCATCTCGACTTGTGCAATCGCCAGAGACTGTTTCCCTGCCCTGACCCCTTCAACCCTGAATCCTCATGTGCGGCGCCTTTGGAGCACAAGGGCAGCTTGCTCTTTTTGGCCACCTTCTTCGCGGGTGCAGTCATTGACGAGTCTCTGCCTATGCTTGCACGGGTATATTCTATTCTTTTGTGTTGAATGATAACTGTGTTCTACATATGCATATATACATCGATACTCTATTCTATTCTATTGCAGTATGTTGTATGATGTTTGTATTATGAGAAGCACAAGTGCGAACGAAGTCTGGGGTACGTGCAATGGTGTGTTTCTGGAACTTTCTCAGCTCATTCAGGATGTTCTCGTAGCAGTCCTCGCAAAGTGACTTGGGAGACGACTTACCTGCCCCCAGGCTGATGATTTCAGCTGCGGGGGGTTCAGGCCTCTGGGGAATGTGCGCATCTGCTGATGCATTGTTTGTGAGACCTCGGATGCTTAG